TCCTTCTACAAGCTGTTATACAGTTCGATTCTAAGTTCGCTGTTGCATAGACGAGAGAAAACAATTGTGAAAGTGATGAGATTTTTTATGTGTGAGAACGACTGCGTTTCGCCACTCAGTTTGATATAAAACGACTCCTAGCTATTTACATGTTCAAGTATTTATAATTTAATATTTTTAGGGAGCCGACCAAGCCAATCCCTAGAATAGCGCCTAATTCAAAAATAATGTTAAGTCGGTATATTAAAACTTGTCGACCTGAATTTAATCGTGTAAAGTTTCAAAGGCGTGCAGATTTTCAGATACAAAATTATAACGAAGTCTGCATTAATAAACTGATAGGTAGATGAGCTACGAGTAACAAAGAAGTTAAAACAGCAGCTGCCTGTTCGAATCGTAATTTCATCATTGATTGCTACCCATAACTTGAGGTCGATAAACATTGGGTCGGATTCAGCGATCCTCTCAAGCATCATCATTCTTGCATGTTATGCCAGCTTTTCACCTTTAATCGATCTGAGCAATACTGTTATTCCATTCACTCTTTTATTTCTTTGTTTTATTTGGTAACTTTTAACTTTGTATGGCCAGTTATGCCAAATCAAAATCTCACCATCCCAGACAGCCAGAACGGCCAAGGTGAAAGCTCAGGCAACTCAACTTCTCGAAGATTTATTCCACTTTATGGTAAGACCATTAAAAAGTACAATTGCTATAGAAAAGCCCACATTCCAACAGTCTGGGTTGTGCCCGATCTTGCTCTAGCATTCAGTCCATCAAGAATGCGAATTGTTCTAAAAATTTCAGAGTATGAAGCCCAGTCTTACACCAGCACAGTGATCACAGTCTGTAATTCATTGCATGTGGCACATATCGGTAATTACTGTCATATAACCTGTGTGCTCTATTCTCAGTAGTTTCATGCCTATTGGCTTGTCATTTCTGCCTTTATGTGTGATGCATAGTCGTTAATGGGGGTTCCCTTGGTAAATTTGGCTATCTGCTGAGACCCTTTTTATATATGCAGGAGAGATATGCGGGTTTGGCACAAAAGTAAGTGGTCGTGTGTCTACCTCGCATGGCCTGTTCTTAATCGTGAGATGATGATGCCTCGTCTACGATTCAGATCTTCCAAGGGCCACCTATCAACCGTACTCCTGTTTCGTAGGAGCTTCTCCAATCCGACCCACCGATGCTGTTACTTTCTGTTGATAATACTTTTTACTGCATTTGTAACATATGAGGGCCGGATCGCGGCTAATCGTTTAGTCACTTTATTTCATGACTTTTCATTACGCTACCGCGCTTTAAATTGTTTTTCATGAAAATAATTTCTTGAGATATTTAAAAAGATAGATCATAATAATACTAATAGATAGAGCATGGTCAATAGATGGGGCCCAGAGACTCAAAACCGCAAATACAGATCATATATTTGGATTCAAAACATTTATATGAGTCTGGCACGCAGAGAAAGGTTCTTGTGTCCCAGTTAATTAAAAGCTGTTATTGCTTGGCTCTTTATAGGGAGTGAGTAAGCCACCCGATATGAGAATTGTGCTCATGTACGGCAGTTAATCCTTGGGACCTCTGTTCCAAATTGTTTGAGGCAACAGGGGTACTGGCTAGAAAACAACCCGTACTATCCCAAAATCCGGGGGTCGGATTGCGCTACAGTCTCCTCTGAACTTTTTTTTATGACCCGAGGAGGGCGACGGCCGCAATGGAAGTTGACACGGCCCTCATCAGTGGAGGGTGCGGGGCGGGATCGGACCTCAGCGACCCTGAATTTTCGATCCCGACCTCCTTCAAAAATGAGTTTCTTCAATGGAAGAACACCGGCCCACGGGCTCAACTCCCACACTTGTTGCGACCTCCCAAAACTGAACCAGGAAGGAGTTCGAGTTCAATAAGCTGTAAAGCTGCAGAACTCCTCCAATTCCTGGTATCCATAATCACAAAAATATTACTGGAGATTAATGCGGCTTTGGGCCTCGCGACCTGTTGGGCATCAAGACGTAGTCTCTAGTAGAAGTGCCACCACTGAGTGATTTTTCACACCTTAGTTCCAGATTTTGGTTTATTTCATTTTAAATTTTTACACACCCACAAATTACCTCGTCTGTATAAAAATAAGTACCGTTGCAAAAAGTGTCCGTTAGCAAGTACTCAGTTATTTCTAGTATTCAGAGGTGATGTGACCTGTTTTTTTTTTTTTTTTCATATTGCTTCTAAAACTCTGAAGGTGTCTGATATTTTAATAATCTAGTTTTCAGCAGTTTAGTTATGTTTCGTTTAAATAAACTTAGCCATTATTTAAGCTCAATCTTGTAGCCATACGTTCTATTTTTGACGGTGCTTCACAAATTATTGACTTATTGATTACATGAGTGTATTGATGTATGGAATGGGGAGGGATTCCATTGGTAACATAGGGTTAATCGCATTTAATACCATCTGACGCCAGGTGTAAAAATATCGGAATCTCGCTTGACAGATGTTTTCATCCACCTTGCCCTTAAAAACCGACCCTTTTTTGGAGGACTTTTTGTCGCCGAATTGTGGAATCCCGTTTGGCGCACGTTGCCAGCAGCATTCCACCGGCCTTCGCTTGTCCACTTTATCCATTCAAAGCTGAATAAAATGGGAAAAAAGTGGGGAACGATAATAGTCGAGAGGGGATGAATAGGCCAAGGCTGGTCGCACATAGCCCTGCACTAATGGTAGTGCTTTCATCCCTGCCGGCTGGAAGGAAACGATGCCGGACTGCTAGTCCTGGCTGGCCGGAAACGAATTTCCTTATTCCATTATCTCGACCTTTTACGGAATAGAAATAACGATGAATATCGATTCCCCCACCTTGGAAAAAAAATCCTCGCTTTCCCCTCACAAGGTTGTTCCACTTTCCTTCTCGTACGCATTTCCCATCGTTCTCAACTTCTTTTCGTGATAAATGATTACAAATTTCTAAATTTCTCTTAATTTTTTACTTTCTCCGTGGCCCTCGTCCGTCTCGTTACAGTTTCTGTACCAAAACGCCTGTACTATTTTCATAGCCTGGATTAAAACCAAAATATTTGCTCTAGTGTCTTACGTTTGACTACAGAAATAATCCGTTTTTCATCGTGCATTTTTTTCCCATGACGGCCGGTTTTTCCAGTGTCCTGTTTAAAAATGCAACTTTAGGTCTCTTGTAGTCGAAGTCTGTTTGAGAAGGTGTGAGTTGAAATGTGTGTTCTGCGAGGTGATGGACCTGTCATCCTGTTCTGCGAAAGGAAAACCCAGACATCAAAGGCGCCGACAGAACTGCCAATACTACCAATACTCACTGCTTTTAGATGAGAAAAACCTTTGATAAAATAAAAAAAGGAAGTCAAAATAACACAAACCAACTGTAACAGAATAACTGAGTACGGAATTATCCTAGACGGCCAAAATTTGTTTTCGGTCGTATAAATTATTTGTGAATTTGTTTTCAGCATTAAGTTAATAAATTATTTGAAGGATATTTTTAAATATTGAGGAGGTTCTGATTCTTCTAATTTCCACTTTATTAGAGAGCCAACCTTCTCTGGGGCCACGATTTTCAAGGCAATGTAAACGAAGAGGTAGGCGGAAGAATTGCCGGTTGTTATAACACCAAAATTAGTATAATTTTGGTAAATTATTAATTCCCAGGGTAGAAGTTCACCTTCACAAACAAATATGTTTTTGTGCTGTTTTAGAACAACGTTTTATCCGTGTTGTCCGACGATGGCCCTTTATTCAGATAATTTGTTTATTTGATACGGTTGTGGTGCGAAAAACGCTTTATACTGCTGAGAAGTGGAGCACCACAACTGTAGGTCTGTCTGGGGTTTTCTCTGCTCATTTAGTCCTTTCTCTCACCTTGTCTTTTGAGTAAGATGCTTTTCCTTTTTCGGAAAAACAAAAACGGGTTAGGATCGATCCTATCACTGTAGGGTAAGCTGAATGGTTTTTTTTATATATAGGGTCACTGGTGTCCAAAATAAAAAAATCGTTACTTATTTTTCCACGACACGAAAAGTATACCCCTCTAGGTAGTTGAGAACTTTATGCGGTTCCTCTTAGCATATTTTTATAAGAAGAGGCTACTGTTTTTGGACCAAAGCTTTGCAACAAAGACCATCATCCTTCGATATCTTCACAACATTGGCGGCAGGTTTCTGACTCAGTTTTTCTCGGAAGTTAAATTCGTTTTCTGGTACCCACGTCAGTTATCTACCCGTACAGTAACATAAGTTAGGGCTTTTTAATTGAAGGTGGAGGAGTTTATAGCCTTCAGTACTTCTTGGCATTTTGAAAATATGTGTATAGTATTTTAAATATTTCCTGTGTGCAGAGTTCTATTGCATATATATTGGAAAATTAATTGTGTGTGGCCTAGATGATAAGGCCCTTATAGATTTTCATTTATATTATAGATTTTCCCTTATAGATTTCATGGTTTATTCTTTCAAAATTCTTCTCAACGGTGGTTATCAAAAAAAATCCAACACGCCCTGGTCCAAAAAAGCTTTTCTTTAATCACCTTAATCGCAAAACTTGAGGAAGTTTGCAGGTTTGAAGACTACATGTTCACACGTTTGAAATAGAGTTTGATGGTGAAAACCAAAAGGTATAAAGGATAAAGTAGTTTCTCATACCGAGCAAATCTCAAATTGCATCGATTTGGCAATTTGATGAATGGATTTAATTAGCTATTAAAAAAAAAATGCGTGTACATATTTAAAATTATTTGTGTGAATGGGCAGAGCCGGATATGAAACTCGTCAAAGCAGCCCGCCGTAACTCCCAAGCAGGACTTTTTATTCCATTTGTATAAATACAAACAAGGCTTTTGTGTATAAAAACAAAGGATTTTTATTAGAAGATGGTACCGATTCCCTTATTTATATTTATAAATGTATCGTGTTTAAGATAAGAATGTTATTGTATTGGGACTTTTTTTTAACGAATACTTTTTGTTTTGTGTTTAGGTGAACAGCAAAAACGAATGGGAGCAGGTTCTTGCGGATTTCGATATACCGAAACAATGTGTGAACAGCTCCGTGGCTATCAAGCAAATCTACCTGAGGTAAGCGGCCCCGTTTCTCCTTCTACTTTTGCAGGATGGCAGCGTCGTTGATGTTGATGAGCTGTGTTGTTGTTGTCCTCGACGGTGGTGGGGTTGTAAACTGAGCCACGTGCTTTCGGTACCGCAGCTCGAAATAGCCGGCGAGCATAGCATCCCGGCGGCGCTGCTCATCCCCTCCATGCTCTCAGTCCCATGCACCCCACGTGAAGCCGAGAGCAGATCTCCCGCCAAAATTGGCACCCTTCCCGCCAAAATAGGCGCGCTCCTCCTACTGCTCTACTGCGGCACCCTTCTGCACCACGGATACACCTCCCGCCAAAAGTCAAACCGCGTCGCTGTCAACGACGTCATAACTTGCCTAAAGCCTTCTGTGCATTTTTTATATCAAACATCGCAACTTATACATTGTCATAAATAATTGGGTGACTGTAGCTATTAAAAAAATAAAAGGCAACCTTATTGTGAGATTTCACTTTGATGGTGTAATGAACCTGCACTCGTTTGTCAACGCCTTCAACATCAATTCTCTGACTTGTGAAGCTGGCTTTTGGTAGTTTGATAGTTGGTTAGTTCTGCAAGTTGTTAAAACATCGTCCCATCTTTCCAGGACAAAACCCTGGACACTTTATTAGGTTAGAAAAAAAAGGAGGGGCCTCCTAGATACATTGCACAGGGATGAAAGGATATGAAAAAACAGATGCCCTTGGAAGTAAGTTATCATCCACTAACTAACAATATAGATACTTGGAATAAAAAAAAAGATCTATCCTCCCGTGTAAAATTTGCCTGTCAACCTATTTTACTACTACATATCTTGCCCCCCTCCCAAAAAAAGAAGAAAAAAATAAATAAAAATGAGAACTGCATGTTCATGTTTAATCATTAGACCTGATAGCCCATATAATTGATAAAATCAAAAAGAATCCTTATAAGACAGGGGAAAAATAAAAGGTACTTCAAAAATTGAATTAATACGAAATGCTTAAACTTTAAAATTGCAATCAAAGTTTTTGAACTTGAGTTTTGCCCAAAGGGTGCAGATATATTAAGGATAGTTTTAGAACCATTGGCAATTCTTTCCTGTTCTTCTCTTGCTTTTCCCATTTTCTTCCTACTAGTCTATTTTTTTGACGCTTCAAGCAAGTTATATTCACGTCTATTAACCGTTGAGGAGTTCGTTTCCCTATCCCATTGCCATCCAGCTCTTGCCACACTACCTCAGGGCCTCAATTGAAATGAAATATGCTATAATAAATCACCACGCACTATAATAAACACAAGATACACAGAAACATGGTAGTCTGGTTGGCATCCATATTTTCCCGGTCTCTATATTCGTCGGTGTTGTAAGTCAGGAGCCGCTTCATTCACGTTAATAAATTACATTCACTCGGCCCCAGGGTACTCGATATTCCTTGGTGTAATTGGGGGAAGAAGCATCACCATTCTCGCTACTAAATCCACCCACACCAAAACTTTATTCACACTGCCCCATACTAGTCGATATCGTCAGGGTAATTGAGGAAAAGTTACTCCATTCACGCTAATAAATTACATTCACTCTGCCGCAGGGAACTCGATATTCCTCGGGGTGTTTGGATATAGCCCCATCATTCACGCTATTAAATTATATCCACACGTCAAACTTTATTGACACTGCCACAGACTACTCCATCTTCCTCGGGAAAAATCCCTCTATTCACGCTAATAAAGTAGATTCACACTGGCCGAGACTGCTCAATATTACTCGGTGTAATAAAGGAAGAAGCCCCACCATTCACGCTGCTAAATTACTACTAAATTAGTTTTTAATTGGAGCTAATATAAGCTAAATACAGTCATAAAACATTTTAATACCATATTTTAATTCCAAATTATAACTGCTTAGTATTAAGCATATAAACAATGAAGACATTAAGTGTTATATATATTAATAATAACCACATAGCAGTGGTTGTTACATGTTAATGGTAAACATAAAAAAGAAGAGAGATAGAAAAACAAGAACATCAATAAAAACAATTATGCCTATATAAAATGTTGGTTTAAGCCCTACTTCACTTTCACGGCAGATCCAAGAAGTAACTATTTTGCCAATCTATTTCTATTTTTGTGATTCTGATTCTGGAAATCAGTCTTTCTGCTGGGGCATGGAACGGATTTATTGGACTGTGATGATCTGTCACTCATTTTTCTTATCATGCCCATGGTTGTTCACCATTTCAAACTCTGTGTTTGGCCACTTGCCCAATTTTTGTGGTGATTCCAATGTCAGTTAATCCACGTTTGAAGCAGGATCACCGCTCTCGCTCTCCCTGACGTCTGAAAGTATTCATCACCAAAATATCCATTTATCAAATTCTTGTGGTGATACCAGAACTGTTAATTCGTATTGGAGGATGGAACACTTGCCTTGTTCTGTCTGACTTCTGAAAAGTCTACAGCAGAATATCGAATGACGAAGTACGGAATGGTTAAGTATCATTTTTTCCGCAACTAGTCATACTGCTGTCAGTAATATATAAACACAGGAATTTTTTTTTAGAAGAAAAAAGCGAGAATAATAAAAGATGTAGCAATTTTCACCTAAACGTAGACAACCCAAGGTTCTAAATTTGGAAAAATAAAGGTATTTCAGATGGAGGAAGTAACGAGACATTAGACCGGTTTTTGGATGGGACAGCTGAAAAAAAATTGAAGTGCCAAGAACATTTACTTAGGAAACGTTTTGGGACGTAGTACACAAGGTTATAAAATTCATAGACCAATTAGTAGAGTGAACTGTAAGTACTGAATAGGGGATACAATAGCCGATAAAAGGCGCATTATAAATTCTCCTTGAATTTATATAATGAATGCATTCATTCATTCATTCAAGGTTGGTATTATTCAAATAAGAACATAAGACAAAGCAGACGTTAGACCAATATCTGACAGAAATGCCCAAACTCGTCTGGGTTAAACAGGGATGACGTGAAGACCAGCATGACTCGACATACTAAAAATGTGTGAATTATCTATGAATTTATCGATGCCATGATAGTATGAAATCGGCAATGAACACCTAATTCGAAATGGTGGTAACCGCGAACTGAATGGCTAAAATTAGTAATTGAGTTAGAGGAGAGGTTAACTTATTACTAGGTTGTCCTGCGTTCTGGGTCTCGAATGATCTCGCATGTTGGTTGTTTTTTAGCTTATACTACATGTTTTTGAACGAACTTTGTTTGGAATAACCAGGTATATCGAAGCTATTTAAAACTTTAAACTTCCTTATTTAGAACTTTAATATATTTTATTGTTTATATTACTTTCTGTCATCGGTTTACGTCCTGTTCATTTTAAATTCCTCTTCGTCAGGTCGGGAACGGGGAGAAACCCAAACAAACGCCCGTTGTAAACCCACCCGTCAAGGGAGAATGAATTTATTCTACGGACGAAAGTTCATTGGCCACGCGCGAAGGCCGGAAGAGACCCACGGCTTCCTCACTGCGGGTGGACTCAGACAGCCGGTCGCAACCGCCCCGGAACTACTTTCTCCCGTCCTGAATTTTATATGTACATTCCTTAAAACTAGACGCTAAACGCTTATGTTTTTCGCCCGTTTAAAGTCACTTAATTGTCTGATTCAATTATTAACATTATCAAAGAGAAACTTCCACCGGGGCTAAAACTGAAATGTAGAAATAGTAACAGCCTAACAAAGGAACATCCGATACTCATGACCTCAAGAGACGACAGAATGTTCAAGCATTTCTAAACAAATATAAGTACCAACAAAGAATGAGAAAGAGGGAAAACTCCAACGGCACCATCTGCTGGTTCATTAACAGATCTAGAACGAAGATCGGGGGCAGAAGTATTCAGTGCTAGAATCAAATACTCAGAATCTACGGGAAAATACACCAGTATCTTCCAGGCTATAAGTCTATAAATTAAGAGTTGTACCCAGTCCAACTTAAACAAGGGGTACAAAAACAAGAATGTCAAATAGCCAAACAGCCATCAAAGGACAAACATTATTAGCTCAAAGATGGCTCTGAATTGCAAAACTAAACTAACCATATTCGGTATGGAAAACAAAATCATCCTCTGCTAGGTCCCAGGACATGTGGGTGGCAACAAGAAAGCGGACACCCTTGCAATAAAAGGGGCTGCTTACCTCTGATAGGTCCTGAGCGCTTCTTTGGCATAGGATTCACACTATCAACGAACATCTCCGACAAATAGACAATAAGAAAATGAGGAAATAGTGGAATTCACTCATGGGACGTAAACAATCGAAGAATCTTCTAGAAAATTTTGGTAGGAACGAAACAGCAGAAGTCATCAAAGGAAGCAGGAAAAAACATCTAGGAGTCTTGACAGGACAGACTGAATGGACGGTTGAAACAGATTGGTATAACCCAACACTGCACGTGAAGATTATACAAAGAAGCAGAGGAGACGCCGACACACCTACTAAAAAACTGTGGCGCCACATTTGCCCTATGGGGGAAGTAAGTGTATGTCTCTTCTGACTGTAGAAGTAATTCAACCACTGAAACTGGGCCTACTAATCTTAATATTCCTTGATGAGTTAGGACTCACCCGTGTGCTATAATCACAGAACGGAGATACAATTGCTCTCAAAGAGGGTATTACGCACCCCGAACATTACATCTACATCTACAATTGTGAGATTCCATCATGGGCTCAGCGGATTTATGAAAATAGTTTGGTTGTAAAATGGGCCGGAGAAGAATGAAACGACTGAATAGGCATACTTACAAATAGTTTGATGTTGCTTGATTAAAAAAAATCACAATCTAGGGTGTTTCGTTTCAAAAGCTCGAGGATTTGACGGCTTACATGGAAAACAACTGCCCTTTTTTTATTATAAAAGTTGCAAGTATAAACATAATTAAAATCGATGAAGATCCTACGAATTCGTTCAATTTGTCGATAAATTTAATTGAAACGAACATTTGATTTAATTTAAGCGTTACACTTTGTCAAAA